TAGGGTTTAGGGTTTAGGGAGTTATTCCGGTCTTGGGTTACTTTAAGGGTTTAAGGTATGGTGTTCTGGGTGGCTTTACGGGTTTAAGGTACACGGTTTAGGCTTCCCTTACGGGTTTAAGGCATACGGCTCGGGGTTAGTTTAGGGGTTTAAGGTGTATAGGGCTCAGGTTTACTTTAAGGACTTTAAGGTATAGAGTTTTGGGTTACCTTACGGGTTTAAGGCGGGGTTAAGGTGTAGGGTTTTGGGTTACCTTACGGGTTGAAGGAACGGGGTTTAGGGTTGCTTTAAGAGTTTTAAGGTATAAGCTTTGGGGTTACTTTACGGTTTTAAGGCACTGGGTTTGGGGGGTTACTTTCAGGGCTTCGGGTGTTAGGTTTAATTAGACGAGTTTAGGGGTTCCCTTCAACCCAGTGAAGCTTCTGTTTCAATAGGATTTAGGGCTTTTAGGGTTTAAGGGTTTTACGGTTTGGGCTCTAAGTTTTCTCTCTGAAGTTTGGGCGTTTAGGTTTAGGGTCTAACTGTGGCACTGGCTCTAGAAAGCATAGGGTGGTTCTCATAGGCTTCTTCTAAGTCGATACGGCTTTATGTAGGGCCTCAATGGCAGAAGATGGTGAATATCTTAGGAGCCTTAATAATTATAATAAGGTTTTGGGGCCCATTGTACTATAATCAGAATAACGACCCCCCCCAGAATAGTATAGGTAATTATTTAGGCCCCTACATTGTCTAAACCCTAAGCTGTGCGATAGTCGCTGTTAAGATCTACATTGATCTACCAAACATACTAGTGCACAGGTTGCTCTTCTACACTTCCTAGCACGAACTGACAACCTAACAGCTACCCTGAACAGGTTCTAGGTTAAGGCAGGGTTTTTAGTGTCCAATACTATTCGACTCGGCTGCTCGTCTTTACACAAAAGATATATATTTTTTCAAGCCCTCAGGATGTTGCTACTCATTATCCGGGCCCCTGCTCCTTCAGAAGCATCTAAGACCCATGAAGGAAAACCTTTACGCAGACCCGCATAAAACGCTCTACCACCTCGAACCTAACCTATCGCCCCAAAACCTACCAAAAACCTTAACAAAGCCAAGGACATGATGAAATCAATACAAGACTCTTATACAAAGGCCGTGTAAAGCCTAAACTCTTATGAAGCCTCATAAAGGCTGACATAACCTGATGAAACCCTTCTAAAATCCTGCAAGACCATGCAAAACATGTACCCTTGGAGAAGCCCTGCAACACACTGTTGAAACAAGGTGGGACCATGTAATTGGGCTTGGGGTTTAGGGTTCAGGGCTTAGGGGCCTAACAATTAGAACAGGGTTTTAGGCTCCTTTAGAGTATACTGATAATACCAGGACCCCCCAAGGGCCCTTTAATGGAGCCCTTATGGTCCTTAATAGTGGGTATTTAGGGTATATTAGAGGGTAGTTGGGGGGTCTAAGTAAGGAACCCTAAGGAACAATCTTGGTAACTATTTGGGCTTCTCTATTATACATACAACTTAGGAGACATCCCTGGACCCCTCCCTAAACCCTAAACCCTAAACCCTAAACCCTAAACCCTAAACCCTAAACCCTAAACTCTAAACCCTAAGACCTCGGCAGTCTCCGTGTTGAGGTGAAACTCCCGCTGGATTTCGCTGAGATCGCCGAGCCTCGTGGAGGAGTCAGGTCTGGGGTTGAGGGTGTTTAGGGTTGTGTGTGTGTGTGTTTTTTACTCTGTGTTGGCCCGGAGACTCTGTGGAGTAGTGGCGCTCACAGGTGATCTTTTTCAGCCTTTCGGGCTCCCAGGCAACTGTGCGCAGTGCCTGTTCTTGATCACACATTGACACACTGACATAGGGTTTTTTGGGTTTTGGGCTTAGGGGGTCAAGGGTTTAGGGTTTTAGGGTTTTGTGGGGTTTAGGGGTTGTTAGGGTTTATGTTTTTTTGGGTGTTTGGGTTTAGGGGTTCTTGGGTTTTTATAGGGTTTAGGGCTTAGGGTTTTTAGGGCTTTTGGGGTTGAGGGCGCAGGGCTTTTAGGGTTTAGGGTTTCGGGCTTTTAGGGTTTAGGGCTTAGGGTTTACTAATTTTAAGGGGTTAGGGATATACTGGGCTGCGGAATTTGGGGCTAAGGTAAACCCTAAACCCCAAACACCGGTTTAACAAAAGTGTAGAAGATAGCATTTTATATTTAGGGGTGCTGTTCTTTTCAACGGCTTATCGGGCTCAGGGCATTGAGTTTACGGTTCAGGGCCAGCTACTAGTTAAGGTTTAGGGCCAGGGCTTTGTGTACCGTAGACCCCGAACCTTAGATCCTGAGCCCTAAACCTTGAACCCTAAACCCCGTAAACCCTTCACATCCCTGAACTGGACTCCCATCTGCAGAACCCTTATAGATCCTTTCAAGGAGCCCTTACAAAACCAAACAAGGTCTCTTCCTTTGAAGCGTTGTGCCCTAAGCCCTAAGCCCGAAGTCCTAAGCCCTGAACCATAAACCCTGAGCCCTAAACCTTGCTACAGCTCTTGGTTTGAAGCGCTGTGCCAGGAGGGCATCTGAGCCCCCTGCAGCGATGTGAGGAGCTTCTCAGAATCCATGCGCCTGGCTCGGCGGTCTTTAAAGGTTTGTTTGCTGGGTTCTCATGCGATGTTTGAAAGGTCCTCTAGGGTCTATACGGTTTAAGGTTTTAGGGCTGAGGTTCAGGGCTTCCTGGTTTGGGGCTTTCCTGTGGGCTGGCGCCTGGCTTGGTTGAGAGTTGGTCTGGGGTTTCCGTTTTCACATTTACGGAGCTGAGGACGTTTTCGGGCCATCGCGGGAGGTTGAGGTGGAAATTACAAGATCTTCAGACTAGAGTTCCGGTTGCGGCAGGGGCGCTGGCCGGCCGGAAGCAGAATCTTATGGCGTAGCTGTGCTCTATGGGAGTGAGAATGGTGGATTTCGATTTTCCACAGCTCTACATAGCTTAGGTAGCAGTTACCAGGCGTCGATGTTCTGCATTTGTTCAGCAGCTTTGAGGTTGGGGGTTTAGGGTTTAGGGTTTAGGGTTTAGGGTTTAGGGTCGGGTTTCTAGTATCGGATGCAGGATGTGCATATTTGCAAAGCTCGCGTTGGGCAGCGTAATCTTGAGACTGAAGTGAAAGGTGCGCTGTGCAGAGCATTGGTCGTCTTCCTCGTCCAGATCCATGATCTCGAGCTTCACACGTGCTCGATCCACCTGAGTTTTCAACCACCGAAGTTATCCCTTCTGTGGCTCCGGGGGGCACGGGCCGCCGCCGGTCTACGATGCGGTTTATTACCGCACGGAGACGCCAGAGCTCAATCAGGTTCAACTGAGCTAGCAAGCGCTCCAGCACCCTTTCGGGCAGCTCAACAAGACGTCTGAGATAAGTCATGGCTGCGGCGGGTGTCAGTGCGTGGGTGTGCACGGGGATTCGCCTCCCCAGGTGTTGTCGGCTTGTGGAAGAGATATAAGTCTTCGAAGGTCAAATATCTGGGCCTGAATGATGGGAACTGCTAAACTCTAAATACTTAGACCTGTATCTTAATGGTGGGGCATGCACTATAGGGCTGCAAGTAAGGTACTGTAGCCCGCATTACGGTACGCATACTTCCGACAACAACCTCTTTACCAATCAAGGTATCTTTCAACAACTTGATGAACACACTGCACTCTTTTCTTGCTATTACACCCCATAAACCCTCAACCCTAAATCCTAAACCCTTAACCTCGAACCCTAATCCCTGAAACCGAAGGTGACAGCCGGAAACGCAGGCATCGTGCCAACCCATGACGGATACCATAGGGACCTGACGACGAACCTGGGGTCTTCATTTGGGCCTCTTTTTAGGCTTTAGGCTTTTTGGCTTTAGGGTTTAGGGCTTAAGGCTTCGGATTTATGGTTTAGGGTAAAGGGATCCTAATATTACAGGGTGATAGGAGCACTCTTCATATGGCTCAAATATTTTGGGAAGCCCTAAACCAAGACCCTAAGACCCTAAGGTGCCCCAAAGACACCAGAGATGTGGGGGTTTAGGGTTTGGGGTTTGGGGTTTTGGTGTTGAGGGGTTTGGGGTTGGGGGTTTAGGGTTTGGGGTTTAGGGTTGGGGTGTGGGGTTTAGGGTTTGAGGTTTGGGGTTTAGGACTTAGGGTTTATAGGGATTTAGATACCACGAATGTGATATATGACGTCAGATACGAGGTAGCAGATGTAAGATACAAGCGTGAATCATATCACAAGCCCTGCGCTCCAACACCAAAAAACCGACCTGAAGCCTAAATTATAAAGCCTACTCTGTGAGGGTTCCTGAATATGATCTGTCTCTTTATACAAGCCCTGAAAGGGGTCGGCTTTTTCGGGCCAACCCCTAAACTCTATAGACCCTAAAGCCCAAATCCCCGAAACCCTAAACCCTAAACCCTCAAAGCCCCAAGCCCTGAAGCCCTAAAGCCCTAAAGCCCAAAGCCCTAAACCCTAAACCCTAAATCCTAAACCGTAAGCCCTAAAAGCCCTAAAAGCCCTAAAACCCTAAACCCTTAAAGCCTGACCCCCAAACCCTAAAGCCCTAAGGCCCCGAAAACTCTAAACCCTAAACCCAAAGGCCCTAAAGCCCTAAAATCTTAAACCCAAAGCCCTTAAAGCCCGAAACCCTAAAGCCCTAAACCCTTAAAGCAAAAAGCAGGTTCCCTGATGACTCTACGCCCCTATAGTACCCTTAGAGAACCCTTCAAAGGAACCTTTGAAGGAGCCCATAAACCCGAAACCCACTTAAACCTCTAAACCCCTCTAAACCCCTAAACCCTAAACCCTAAACCCCTAAACCCTTAAACCCTAAACCCGAAACCCTTAAACCCCTTAAAGGAACATCCGTAACCCTAAGCCCTAAATCCTTAAAGGAACCCTTAACCCTAAACCCTAAACCCTAAAGCCTCCCTTAAAGGAATCCTTAAAACCTAAAGCCTAAACCCTTAAAGGAATCCTTAAAGGGTTTAAAGCCTAAACCCTTCAAGCAATCCTTAAACCCTAAAGCCCAAACCCTAAACCCTAAACCCTAAACCCTAAACCCTAAACCAAAAGCTAAACCCTTAAAGGAACCCTCAAAGGACCCTTGAGCTGCGCGTCTTCCCGGCCTCCGGGTCTCGCCACTAAGGCGAAACGAGGCTTCAGCCTTCTCTCGCCAGATTCGTGGTTAGCGGTTTAGGGTTGAGGGTTTTGGGGTTGAGGGTGTAGGGCTCAGGGTTTGGGGTTTAGGGTTTAGGGTTTGGGGTTTGGGGTTTAGAGTTTAGGGGTCTGATAATTAGGGGTTTAGGGTTTAGTTTGTTTTTGAACACCTTTTTTCGCGGACGTTTAGGATTCAGGGTTTAGAGTTTAGGGTTTCGTTTGGAGTTTAGGGGTCTGATATAAGGGGGTTGAAGGTTGAAGGTCTAACGTTGGGAGGTTTAGGGTTTTCGGGGGTTTAGGGTTTAGGGTTTAGGGTTTAGGGTTTACTTCGACAGTTAGAATAGGGTTGTTCAGAGCTTCTTTTAAGGCTCCTTATTATGACGTCCTTCTATGTGTCCTTAAAACTGGGGTTTAACCGGGGTTCCATATACCCTAATTAAATCCTAAACCTAAAGCTTTGAAATGCAAGCTACACTGTGTCAGGTTTCCGACTTTTTGGTTTTGCACATGATACAACCCTAATGTAGACCCGTGATTAATGAGTAATGTAGAAGCCTGAATAATTAGAATAGGGTTTGGGGGTCGGTATATTTTACCATAAGCTTTAAAGAGATTATGAATATAGCCGGGATCCTAATGTTAAGGCCCGTAAGAAAAAGGGGGTTTGTTAGAAAAAAACCCTTGGGGTATCCTACTCTTACTCTAGGGCCCCCCCTATATTGCTTCATACTGTGGCCGGCCTCGATGTGGCCTCGCAGCGTCTCGAAGCGCTGCTCCCACCTGCTGGCCGTGAATGGGTACCCAAAACTAGCACCTAAGCACAAGCCGGAAGGTTGGAATACCTCATAACCCCGCTAAACCCTAAACCCTAAACCCTACCCTGCTTTAGGCTTGGGTGCGATTGTTTTTTAGGAGTGTTGAAGTGTCCTCTTGAAGCTGGCAAGTTCTGAGGATCCAAAGCGCCTGATCTACTACTTTGGTGTTAGGGCTTAAAGTAGTAATAGTAGTCGTGTGCGTAATGTTTTCCATAGGTACTTAACTTGAGAGGGTACAGCAATACGAATCCTAGTCACTTGGGCCGTTGAGAAACCAACGAACTATACGTGAGATTGTTGGCAGCGTGAAACGGGCGGATCTAGCTACAAGTGTCAGAGTACTTAGGGTTTAGGGTTTAGGGTTCAGGGATTAGGGTTTAGGGTTCATTGTTTAGGGTTTAGGGTCTAGGGTTTAGGGTTTAGGGTTTAAACTCTGAAAGCACAAGTTCGAGTCCAAGTCATCTGCCAGACGAATCTGCCACTGTTGAACCCTAAACTCCAAGCCTGACAACTCTTAAACCCTAAAGCCAAAACTCCTAAACCCTAAACCCAAAGCCCCTAAACCCTAAGCCCCTAAACCCTGAACCCCTAAACCCCTAGACCCCTAAACCCGTATACCCTAGCCCCTTTGGCCCTCAGCCTCTGCAGCAAGCCCTGCACTTCGGCAGTTTGAGTGCGGAGCTGCTCCTCTCCAAGATGGGCCGCTAATGATACACCACTTCGAGTACTACAGCAAAGAGAAACAACTCACGGGCAGGTAGAACCTGTGCCAGGGAGATACTGTACTATACTGCCGCCGGGGACGGTGCCCACTGCAGGCAGAAACAAAAAGGCAGGCGCCTGCAACAGTGACTGTACTTGCCTAAGGTGTCGAAAATACGCAAGGGAGCGGCGGACGCTGAAAACATACACCACATGTACAGTAGACTGGAACCACAATAAGATAATCCAGCATATTAGGGTTTAAGGGTTTAGGGGTTTAGGGTTTAGGGTTTACATAGGGGTTTAGGGGGTTAGGGTGTTAGGGGTTTAGGGTTCAGGGATAGCATGGCCACAACAAGATAATATGGTATAGTAGAGTAGAGAAATCGAGTAGACCAGAAGAGAATCGAAACGAAGCGGGCAGGCCAGGGCGGAGTCTTAATCATGGGTCTACATCATAGGGCTTTTTGGGGCATTCTAGTTTCGAGTTATATGGGTTGTCAGGCATTGTTGTGGATTTGGGTTAGGGTTAAGAGCTCAGAGATTAAAGAGGATTACGGTTGTGAAGTACTCCAAATAGCACACTGACTACCCCAGCCACTGATCAGGGGTGGGAACCTTACCTTAAAACCTTATAAATCCCGGTTGTTCAGAGATGGTACGTGGCCTCGTGCTGTTTTACTTTGCCTTCTTCCGAAGCTGTGTTGGAAGAGGACCTTCACCTACCAGAACCCAGTTTTCTGGGTGGATCCCTATAATAAAGTCATTTGGGAATTTCCGAAAATTAGGGGTACCTTATTTTGGGGTCCTTATAATAAGGAACCTATTATATAGGGTACTATATTAGGGTACCCTATTTTTGGAAACCCCCATTTGTAGGTTTATGATCAGAAGCTACAAGAACGAATTCTTCAAGGCAGTTCCGAAGTTCCGAAGCTGTACCCAGAGACTCCAATACCCCTTAATTAAGGAATATAGGGTTTAGGGCTTAGGGTTTAGGGTTTAGGGTTTAGGGTTTAGGGAATATACCTTAAATCATAGTAGGATCCCCTAATAAGATTTAAGGTATATTCCTTAATGAAGGGGTATTGGAGTCTCTGGGTAGATCCTCCAGGATCTGGAAGGGTTGGCGAAGGTGACTCCCAAAACAACCGAAAACCTGCGCAAACCCTGCGACACTTCGAACCCCGCGAACTCTCGCAATAAAAGCATTGAGCACCAACAGACGACCAAATGACAGCCCCAGACATCGAAGAGCAATGTAGTGGCCTTGATGATTAGAATGATATACAATACAGTTGTAAGGAGCCTAAACCCTAAACCCTAAACCCTAAACCCAAAAACCCTAAACCCAAAACCCTAAACCCTAAAGGACAATACTATTCATGGTACGAGTAGGGTGAGGCATAGCCTCTGGGAGCTCGCTTTCCATGGCCACGGTTTAGGGTTTAGGGTTTAGGCTTTAGGGTTTAGGGTTTAGGGTTTCCATGAAGTAAAGGCCGCCTCTGAGCACGTCGACGAGTTTCCGGATCGGGTTTGGGCTAAGTGAAACGTCCACCTTCTGCCTTCAGTCCGAGTTAATCTCCGAGTTAATAAGTACACTGACTGCGCGGGTACGTCATTCAAAACTTGCTATAGAACCTATCTACTACATCCCTTTCAGACATAAGACCCTCCAACCATCATCATCAAGCATACCCTGAGACCTGAATACGCACACATGTCTGCACCAGGAACTCTAAAATTCAACCCAAAACATACATGGCCTAGATTCCTACCAGGGTTGTGTCGAAACCCAAATCCTAAACCCTACACCCAGCCAAAAGATTTGATGATGTCCAGAGTCTGAAGTCTGTACCCCAAACCTTAAGACCCTAAAGGAATCCTCATAAACACAAAACACTACAACATGAACTCTTAAGCCCTAAACCAAACAAATCTTCGCCTGTAACCTCAATGCCTCAGACTTTACACCGAAACGCTAGGGTTTAGGACGTTCCAAGCAGGACACTGCTGGGGTGTAAGTACCACAATCGGGGCTTGTGTTAGGATATCAGACTGATAGAGGACACCCCAAGACTCGGCACCCTAATCCGTGCCAACCACCTACGCACTACAGTAACTACTGCTGATGGACAAAATCCTGCATGACCCAAATATAGTATAGCACCATAAATCCCATAGTTTAGGTATAAAAGGCCATGCAGGATTTTGTCCATCAACCGTATGACTCCTTAATTGGAGGGTTTAACCCTTAAAGCAGTAGGGTTTTTGGATCCCAAGGTCGACCTGCACAGTTACAACAACTAGCAGTTCGTTCACTCGCAAGAACCGACGTAGAATCGTCCTTGGCAAGGGCAGCCAGCTCCTCCGACAGGGCTGGGGTCTTGGTCAATTGTGTCTTGACGGTTTAGGTTTAGCTTTAGGTTTAGGGTTTAGGGTTTAGGGTTTAGGGCTTAGGGTTGAGGGTTTAGGGTTTAGGGTGTAGGGTTTAGGGTTTAGGGTTTAGCGTTTAGCATTTGGGGTTTAGGGTTTAGGTTTTAGGGCGGTTTGGGTTCATGGTTGCTTTGCTCTAAGTGCTCCTGTCCTTAGAGCATAACACCACGGGCGTCGTTGAAGGTTGTCATTGGGGCTTTAAAAAATTGCAAAAGGTGCCATGCGTTCAATTAGGTTGCCCAGTAAGCTTTTCACAATGATGCGCGTTTGCCGCCGATTCAGTCTCAATAGGGAAACCTCAAAACTCCCTTTCCGGGAAGCCTAAATCCAACCTCTATCCAGCTCCCAGCTAGCTGCCGCCGTTGTATATCATTTGAGGCCCCACCCCAAACAGTCAATGAGCAGGTTCCTCATGATACTGCAACTCATCTCACATTGCCACCTAGTAGAGAGTACCGCTATGACCATCTTGACAGGACATGCCCGGTAGAATCATTTGGCTGTTTCCGAAATAAAGGGTACCTTATTTTGGGGTCCTTTTAATAAGGATCCTACTATTTAGGGTACTATATTAGGGTCCCCTATTTTCGGAAAGCCCCATTTAAGATGTGTTAAGTTTGGTGGCCAAGCCTGGGGCCCTGGACACGAAACATGACAATGAGTGTCCAATCAAGTACCGTGGTCTTCGTTGCAGCTTTAGCTTTGCAGTGTGTGTGCGCGGTTGTGTGTGTGTGTGCAGAGGCTTCATGGCTTGCAGCTTCGAAGTTGGTTCTGAATGGTGTTTGGGGTTTCAATAATTTGGGGGCGCGGGCTCGGAATAAAAATGTATGTAAGGCAAACCCTCAACCTGTCCAGATCTTGAGGTATCTGCCAACGTCTAGTGTTTACGGCTGGAGGATTTTACGCTTCAGGGCTTAGGAGTTATTGTCATGGTCCGATTTCGGGTGATATCTTCAGCAAAGCGGACCTGGGCCACAATCCACGGGATTTCAACCTACGAACCACCAAAAAGTTGGTGCGTGTAACGGTCGGATATCGACTTGACCTCGCTGCTGTTCCAGCGCTTCAGTGACAAAGGAGCTCTCTCCGAATTGAACACGAACACAATGAAGATGCAGATGAAGAAGTCCTGGCCGGTGCAGCTTGGCAGGGCTGGACAGGGACAGCTGCAGAGGCGCAATCAGTAGCTCTTTTCCACTGAAGTCTCTGGGTCGACATGGGCCATCAAAGAAAACTCTGACATGCATATAGGTAGTTGTCAAAATTATGGTCCCTTTTGGGGTACCCTAAATAATAGGTGCCGTATTATAATAAGGACCCAAACAGGGACCCTAATTTTGACAACCACCCATATGTTTTAAAGAAAGCCGCGTACATCTGTGCGAGCAGGGTGGATCCACGCAGGACGAGGGGTCTACTCGAAGTTGGGCAAGAGTCCCAGGCTTTAACTTGAGTCTACGTTTCCGACATGGTTCTGCTCCACCTGCTTGGAGGCCCTTTTGACTTAGTAAGTAGGGTTAGTAAGGTGGGTTATGGGGATTATAAGAGGGTTTCTAGGGGATACTAAGTAGACTTACTAAGTCAAAGGGGCCTCCAAGTGAGGACCCATCCGTCCTGGCATGGATGGATTTTTGCGAATTCGGGCACTGTGCTTCTCGGACCCGGAGCCTTCGTTGGGAAGATGGGGCAGCAAGGCAACGGGCAAGAGGAATGTCAATTCCACAGAAGCACAACAACTTGACATTCATGTGCTGACTTAGAGTATGCAATTCAATCGCGCACCCTGAAATTTTAGATCATCCTCTGGGGCTGTGCAGTAAGGGGCCAAATTTGGACAAATATTTGTTAGGCACTGCTGCGTCGGCATCCACTGGTCAGTGTTCCAGAACAGCTCGTGGTGTTGCATGGTCGGATCTGCCAGATCAACACAACCCTGAACATCTTTCATGCACTCGTCTTGTTCAGCATCAAAGATTGCTGTTTGGTACTCTCTGCAGCATGCCAACACGGCCCTCATGGGGCCAAACACATACTTGCTGACGGACTCGTCAACGTTCTGCGCATTGAGTTCAGATCCACCACACAGGCACCACATGTCTTGCTTTGACTGCAAGTCTGCTGGGATGTGCTTCGAAACTTCCCCTTGGCAGGCGAGCACCAGCAAGATGATGCAGACACCCACAATAAAGGCTGTCAAGACCATGATCCCAACAGCGCGCCATGTGATCTCGAAGCGTGGACTGCCACTGAGGTTGCCCAAAGACGAAACCAACTCCCAGCCAGATTGCTCAAACTGATCTTCCTCGTAATGCTTGCCAGCTTGCAATATCGGAGAGTCCATGGCGGCAGCGAGAACTGCTGATGATTCGACTTGACTAGCCAGGAACTAAAAGTTTAAAAACAGCGGAGGGAACACCACAGTCTTGAAACGCAGAGTCTCTGAACACTTCCTGAGTTTGCTGCACAACCGTTTGGCACCGCGCACTACTCCAACTGACTGATGAATGAAGCTGCAGCCCCTACTGTCCTCCATGCCCTTGTCCACGTTGCCGTTGCTGTAGTGGTGGCCAGCCCAAGCATGCATCCGTTTCGGTGCCCTCGAAATCGTCGAGCCGATCTTTCAATGCTTGACGGATGTCGACATCAAAAGAACCCTAAACCCTAGGCCCTAAACCCTAAACCGTTCGCCTTCTCGGATCTCCCTTGCGTCCGGTTCAAAACCCATGCTACACGAGTACCAAACTCTCCTCGAGACACCACTGCGGGCCCCACACTAGAAACCTATCCTGCATGTATCCACGTGGGGATGAGCCTACGAGATCCCTAAACCCTGAACCCTAAACCCTATTTCACATCACATCCGAGAATAAGATTGCAAGCTCCTCGGTGTGGCGCAACGTCAGTCGATCTTCAACCAGGCGCTGCACCTGTTTGGACTTCTGGGCGTTCGAGTTCAGCTGATGCGCTGTTGGGCTCAGCTTAATACAGGGGCCTCAATAATTAGATATTATACTAGAACTATAATTATAGTAGGGAACCCCAGCAATAGAAGAGGTAATTATTTAGGCCCCTATATGACTGCAATTTTCAAGTTTGGAATTCTGAAACCCAAAAACCCTAAACTCCGCTTGAAGGTTACACCAGTTCACACATCCCTCATTACGTCTTTCCTCCAATTGAAGAGCAAGCCAAGCAACTGCTCCCGGGTGCCCGGGTGAGATCAAAAAAAAACTGCCCACCGACAAATCAAAGTCAGAAGCGCTATCTCTAGTGTAGGCGTGCAGAGATCTAAGGCTTCGGGGACTCAGCATGCAACATTCAAACAACTTCCAAACCTCAAAAGCAAACCCTACACCCTACTCCCAAAACGCTAAACCCATTCTCTCAACGCTATATCTCAAACAACAGTCCGAGCTTAAGTTCCCAGTCTGACTACAAGAGAAGCGCAACGTGTGTTGCTCTTCATTAAAAACCCCACCGTTTACGATATAAGCATAGATCGTTAGAAGTACTAACTCTTCCTGTTCCATTTCCCATTATCTGAACCCTAAACCCTAAAACCCTAAAGCCCCATAATCCCTAAACCCTATAATCCCTAAACCCTATAAACCCTATAATCCCTAAACTCTATAAACCCATACGACCTACCCCCAAAACCTGTTCTACAGATTAGAGGCCCTACTCTGGGTGTTTACGGGTTCAAGGTTTACTGGACCCCAACTAACCTACCTTTGTTGTAGAAACTATATAAGGAACTCATACGCAATAGAGGGCCCTAACAAGGAAGGTTTTCTTGGGTCCAGGTAGGGTGTGGTAATAAAGATAGACTTTGAAGTACCCAGGGAGAAAAACGTATAGACTTTT